AAAAAAAAAAACACGAAAAACCAGAATATAAAGAACCGTGAAAACTCAATAATAAGAAAACAAATCCTCAATAAGAAAATGGACTATATATTTGAACAGAGAATCTTCCCAGACTCAGAGGTCTTAAAGTCATTCCTATGGGAGTGGACTAGAATGAAGAACTGTCCAATAAATGATGGTGACAGAACATAGTACTAAAAGTTGAGAAGAACCAGAGATTTGGTAAGAAAAGGGAAAATGTGCTCTGCTATATTTAGTCTGCATTTATTAAACATTTCCAATATGACAAGATAGAGATCAACACTGATAGAAACTAGTTGCGGGGGTCAGGGGTGGTGAGTAAGAGATCACAGGGAAGCATTGTTCTGAAAACCTATTATTGCCTGCCCTGGAACTAACTTACACCTATCTCTGCTCACCCATTACCTACCTGAGACAACTACCTCTTTGTCCTTCCTCCCAAGACCTCACCGCAACTTTTTCTCCTATGCCAACTCCCTTGTTAAAAATGAGAACTGTTTTCTACCTGGACATCTTCTCCAGCCGCCACTGCAACACTTAAATTGACTGACTCAATCTACCATCCTTCTCCATATCCTCAACTGTCAGAGTAGTAGGCTGTCTCTCTGAGCATCCTTTGCTTTCCCTTCTCCAACTGCCCTAGAGTGTCCTGTCCCTGTCCTAGCTAACTTTTATCCTTCTCACACTGTCTTCATCCTTCCCATCCACGTGTTATATCTATCCTGCCTTCCATTCCTCAAAATTTAATGAATACCCCTCATAGCTGAGCTATCCTTAACACTAAGCCCCAGAACTCAAGCTGGGCTCAGAAATAAGGAAAGCCCACCATCTGGGTAGTTGAGTAGAAAAAATAATAAATGTTAATATTGTATCAGTGGGAGGCTGTCCCTGGTGTCACAAGTTAGAAATGTAAATGCAATTAAAAAATGTATTTTTATCAAATTGTTCATTGTTAAACTGACAAATAGTTCTACAAAGCTTATAGCAAAAACTGCAATCTCTTGTCTCATATCTCCCCATCATAATTTTCTACCCTCTAGAGACAATTCCTTTCAACTCTATTAATGGTTTCTTTTGATAGGCACCTCCTTTATATTTCTAAATTAAATGCATTCAATGTTTCTATTATTATGACTATTCAAATATACTCGTAGCCAAGCCCTATACTGTGAGCCACATTCATCACCTTTTTGCTACAATTTCTTTTCCTTTGTTACCTAATTTTAAAATTTGTTTTCTAAGTACTTTATTAAGTATTAATACTAAGTACCATTTTGTTCCAACTTTTTTTTTTATTTCTTTTTGAGACGGAGTCTCACTCTGTCACTCAGGAGTGCAGAGTGGCAGGACCTTGGGTCACCACAACCTCTGCCTCCCAAGCGCAACTGATCCTCCCACCTCAGCCTCCTGAGTAGCTGGGATTACTATTGCTAAACTGCTAAGCCTGGCTAATTTTTTTGTACTTTTAGTAGAGATGGGATTTTGCCATGTTGGCCAGGCTAGTCTCAAACTCCTGAACTCAAGTAATCCACCCACCTTGGCCTCCCAAAGTACTGGGATTATAGGCATAAACCATGGCGACCGGCCCTGTTCCAACTTTTTCCAAGAGTTTAAATTTCAATACTTTAAAAATACTTTAAAATACTTTTTTAAAAATACCAGGTTATCTATTTTTTATTTTCCTCCCTCTCTCCCTCTTCTTCTTTCTTCTTTTTTAAAAACGTATAGCTATTGGAGATCTCAATCCATTTGCTCAAATTTGGACTGTTTGTCCTCTATACATCCTACACAGTTGTCTTCTTAGGATTTCTCTTTACCATTATCCTAAGAAATTCACATATTTCCTGTATTAGATAAGAGCCTTTGATTCCTAGATCCCATGATTTCTTCTTTATTGATTTATTTCCTGGTTTTCTTGGAACATCTGCTTCATTTCCGAGAAAAGGTACAAAGATGTGTCTAAAAATTCCTTTATCCTAACACTTGAGTGACAGTTTGGCTGGGTAAGAATTCTAGGTTAGTATATTTAAGAGACTGATTCAATTTTTTGATGTGTGACAGTTTTTAAACCTCACTGTTCCCTCTTCCCCTTTCCACCTCACATCTGGGTGACAAGAGAGCCTTAGTGGTCCATCTTTTGGCAATGGTAGCAAGTTCAAACCATGCACAGGAAACCTCAACCTGGTCCGATCCTCTAAACATCATGAAAACTCCAGGCCAGGTCTCCTTCCCCTTCATTCTCAAGTCATTTGCAGTCCTGCTTGGAGTCATCTTTCTCCCAAGAAAGGCTCATTATATGAGTAATATACCTTTCCATATCTTCTTGGTGTGTAGATGGCATAATCAGTGTTGAAATCCAGGACACCTCTTGAATGGGAGTCCATCTTGACTCTGCAAAATCAGTGTTCTTCAGAATTCTGAATACATTTTTCTCCCCACCACATTCTACCTTCTGGAGTTGTTCTTCAGAAGTCCAATGCCATTGATATTCTTGATTGTTTATTGCAATTGATTATTTTTTCTCTGGAAAACTAATAAATTTCTCTATCTTGAGGATTTAAAAATTACATAATGTTGTAACTTGGTATGGTTTTTTTTCATTTATTGGGGTGAGCACAGTTTGCACCATCCAAATTTGGCTCTCAGTATCTCTGTTCATATTCAGAATTTGAATGGCTCTTTCAGTAAATATACTCATGAACATTTTTAATTCTAGGAAAATTTCTAGCTTTGTGTGTTTAATAATTTTCCTTCTGTTTGTAATTTCTGAACTACTGTTTTTTAGATGTTAGAATCATTGGACTCATCTTCTAATTATTTTTCTTGTTAAAATAACAACTTTATTGAGATATAATCACATGCCATAAAACTCACCCTTTTTTTTTTTTTTTGAGACGGAGTCTCGCTCTCTCGCCTAGGCTAGAGTGCAATAGTGCGATCTTGGCTCACTACAGCCTTCGCCTCCCAGGTTCAAGCAATTCTCCTGCCTCAAAAATTCCAAGTAGCTGGGATTAGAGGTGCACACCACCAAGCCCGGCTAATTTTTTGTATTTTAGTAGAGACAGGGTTTCACCGTGTTGCCCAGGCTGGTCTCGATCTCCTAGGCTTAGGCAATCCACCCACCTCGGCCTCCCAAAGTGCTAGGATTACGGGCACAAGCCACCGTGCCTGGCAAACACTTACCCTTTTAAAGTGTACAATCAGTGGGTTTTTTTGTAGACTTATGGAGTTGTGTCCCGACTGACACTATTTCTATCCTTTATCTTCTCTTTCATGTTTGTTCAACTTTTTGGAATATTTCCTTAAATTTATCATCCAATTCTACAGAATGTTTTCTGATTTCATATTTTTATTTTTTAATGAATTTTTTGTTCTGAATGCTTTTTATAGGAGACTGCACTTGTTTCATGGACACAACATTCTTTCAACATCCTGAGGATATTAATAAAACTGTGGCTTTTTAAAAGATTTCTTTTTCTTGTATTGTTGCCCTTCAAGTTTCTTTTATTTAGTATCTATTATTTTAAATGTTTACTTAAAATGTCTGGTAATTCTTGAATGTTCAAGAATGAGGTACCAAAATGGCATCATAACTGGGGCATAGGAAGAAGTGGATTTTACTGAAGAGTATTTAGACGGGAACCAGGCCATACTACCAGAATGCAGATTCCATAGGCTTTTCCTGGGCACAGAAGTTTCCAAAAGAGGAATCCTTTAATCTTCTAGTTGGAGTGTATTTGCCTGAATGCATAATGGGTCTGGGGATTTCACATCAAAATATACAGACTTTCACTTAATTCCCTTTCCTCCCCGGCCACTGCTAGTTTTCAGTACAGTATCCTTGAATCCAGACCCTCTGCTTCAATGTCTTAGACTAGCAGGGTGGGAAGAAGCATAGTTTCCTGGCCACAGTGTGTTAAGGAAAGGATCAAAGCATCTAACTGTTACTTTTGAAGATTCCAAAACATCTTATTTTAAATATTTCCTCCAAGAATATGTAATGCCTCTAATTCCTGAACCTTTAGCCTGAATCACTTTGTTTCTTGGTTTGTCTCTACTCTAGACACCTAGTTTTCAGCTTTCTTTTTTTTTTTTTTTTTTTTTTTTAAAGATCTGTTAGGTCAATTATAATTCATTAATCTACCTTCCAGATTCCAAACTTTCATTAATTATCTCTTGCCAGCTGAGGTCTCTTCTTTGAACCTATGGTTTTACAACATTTTTATGCCTTTATTGATATTTTAGTAGGGTTTCGGAAAAGAGAAATGTGTATTCAATCTTCAACATTAAATATAAAATCCTTAATTAATTTTTCAACGTGTTATAAAGTTACTAGATTCCAAGGTAGAATTAAAACAATAAATCATATATTAACTAGAATTCTGTGGGCTGCTCAAAACTTAGCCCATCACAGTGTTTTATTGTGGGAAAAAGTATTTCAAGTTTCAAATATCAGCAAATGAACTTTTAGAATATAAGTAGTTTGTAAGTTAGAGACAATTTATTTTCTATTTCCTTATACCTTTCACATGTCAACTTGATAAACCTAGTAATCAAGGACATTTCTCATATATTTAAACTATGATTTTAGAATATGCTGATTATGGTTAAATGGTATTTTCTCTAAATAGAGTACAAGACCCATCCAACAAGCATTTGAGACATTCAACAATTATTTGAATCTGTATTATCTTTGAAACTGTATTCCAAGCATGGGATAGGAAGATAAAAGATAGTGCTAATTTTCAGTGGCTGTAGAGTCATTTTCCTCTTTTTCAAGAGTTAAAGACAGACAAAAACAATTACACTGTGGTTTTGAGTCTTTTGGCAGAAGTATACAGAGTGCCACAGAACTACCAGGATAGAACAAGTCACCTAGAAAAAGAGAAGTCAGAAGAGGCTTCCCAGGAGAAATGGCTCCTGAATTTATTTTTGAAAAAGTTAATAAGGCAAAGAAGGGAGAGGAAGGAGAGAAAAGCATTTCCTGAGCACCTCCTATGTCCTTTTGCACTGCATTCTAGGAAATATTCCTCTAGTCTTATTTTCTAGCTCACTAATTTTAGTTGAATTAATTCCAATATTAGACTCCTTGGTTAAGTTTTTAATTTGATAATATTTTTAGTTCCCAGGGACTATAATTTTTTTCATAGCAGCCTGCTATATTATGGATTCAGTGGCCTCTTGTATCTAGAGATACTTAGTTTTGTGCCATTTCCTCAAATGTTAGTTCTATTTGTTGCATTTGTTGCCTCCTTTCCTTGGAACTGGTTTTCTTCAAAAGTCTGGATATTCCTGGTTGCCTTATTCATGTCTCTGAGAATCTGTTTATATGGCAGTAAGTAAAAATTCTGAAACAGTGGCTTGCTTCTGGAGATTTCGGAAGAGTGATAAGACATTCTGGGAACTTGTGTTCTAGGTGGGGATGTCCTGTATTTTTTACATACTGTAGGTTACATGAGGGCACTGCCCTGTCTGGCCAGTGTCCACACTGGAAGTCTGCTGTATCAGAAGTCTCATGGTTCAGAGAGCCATACTAACTTTATTATGCAGTTAACAAACATAAGAATTGACTACCTCTTTTACTTTTTTCTTCCTCTGCTATCCTTGTGGCAATATGCAGTTACTTCAGACTCTCCTCTGTTTATCAACTCAGCCCCAACATTTGACCCTTAAAAGCCAGCACCCCTGATAGTTCACTTTGCTTGGGAGTAATTCTCAGGGTTTTCTCCTGGCAGCAGGCACTGGTAGCTGCCACAGTTTCCAATATAAGAAGGGGATAATGAAAAAGGGACCAGATATTTCAAATGTAGTTCTTAATCCATCACCTTGACAATTCCTTCAAGATCTCTTTTTTTTTTTTTGAGACGAAGTCTCGCTCTTGTCCCCCAGGCTGGAGTGCAATGGCACAATCTTGGCTCACTGTAACCTCCGCCTCCCAGGTTCAAGTGATTATCTTGTCTCAGCCTCCCAAGTAGCTGGGATTACAGGAGCCTGCTACCATGCCCAGCTAATTTTTGTATTATTAGTAGAGATGGAGTTTCACCATTTTGGCCAGGCTGGTGTAGAACTCCTGACCTCAAGTCATCCACCTGCCTCAGCCTCTCAAAGTGCTGGGATTACAGGCGTGAGCCACGGCGCCTGGCCAAGATCTCTTTCATTACAGTCTTTTGCATTTACTGATCAAGGGTTTAGAGTATTTCTAGGATACTTTTACCTCTGCAGTGTTTTGTTTTTTTGTTGTTTTTTGTTTTTGCTCTTGATATGTTCATCAATTTTGTCTCATTTGCTTTTAAGAATTCCTCTATATTTCCAATGTGCTGGTGGCATCCTTGTTTTCAAAATAACTTTGATTATACCGATATGTAGATGGCTCACCAATTTCTATCTCCAGCCCTCCATATCCAACTACCTGGTGGATATTGCTACTTAGCCATCTTAAATGCACTCATAACTTAATATACTAAAAACTGAATTTTTAGTCTTTTCCTCAAACCAGTTTTTCTTTCAGTGAATGACACTACCTTGTATCCAGTTATACAAGCCAGAAATAGTAGTCATCTTTGACACCTCCATCTCCTTCACTCTTCATTTGCCAAATCCTGTCTCATTACCTCAAATAGCCATCACATCAGCACCCTTCTTTCCATCTCCAATGTCACCACCCTAGAAGGCACCATTATTTCTCCACTAAACTACTTGAACAGCCTATTAACTACACTCCTGATTCTTTCCAGTCCTTCTTCCATACTGCAGCTAAAATGATCATATCATTCTCTATTAAAATGACTTCAATGACTTTCTGCTGCTCCAAATATAAACATTAATATTTCTGATATGGAAGACAAAGCTATGCAGGGCCTCAAACTGGTTGTCTAATCCTGTCTTATACTCACATTTCCTCCTACTCTCTGTACTGCAGTCATACCAACCTTCTTCAGTTACTCAACGCATAATGCTTAGTCCCATATTAGAGCTTCCCTCTGCCTGAATTTCTCTCTACTCATCTCTGCATAGTTAATTTCTACTCTCCTTCAGATCTCAATTCAATTACCATTTCCTCATGGAAGTCTTCCCTAATTTCTCTAAATAAACTCAAATTAATCACATTCAAGTCAATCCCTTTTATAGTACTTATCACAAGTAATTTCACATTTACTGGCATGTGCTTAAAGGCTTTAAGGATGAGATCTATAGCACAGTCAGAAGGATTCACTTTGGAGTAGGAAAAAGACACCTCTTCCACTGAGATGGGAAGATGAGGACAGATACAGATGGATGCTTATGTTTGGAGGAAAGACAGAAAGCTGAGGGAGTTCACATCTGACAGCCTTACCTGATACTAGTTCACTATTTGATGAACTACTATCAACCTGGAGGTCGTCAGTAACTGATTCCTAAGTGAAATAAGAATTAAAGCTATAGCAAAATTATGAGATTGACCATTTCTATATTATAATCTTGTACATTGATTTATTTTAGAAAAGTGAAAACATCAACTTTGTATTTGTTTCATATATATAATACATTCATTCAGTTTATTGTTCAGATGTAATCTGGTATTTAATATTAAACCTAAAAATAAATATTAAACTATAATACTATGAACATATCTTGTAATCAACAATATGCTAGTCAACTAACTACTGTGGGATGACAGCAAATAGAAGATAGAGGTGAATGTTTTTCTGGTTCCCTAGTGGGGAGGGGCTTTTTTTCCATCTATAGAGGCAAATATATAAATCAAAAGAAAAGACTAGTAAGTCTAAAATACTAGAAATAAAATTAAAGGCAAGTAAACAAATATGGAAACACTGGTTATATATGTGTGTAGAAAAGTATAACTATCTTTAATATTTAATAGACATTTAACAAAAAAGTACAAATGGCCAATAATTTGAGGAAAAAAAGTATCAACTTCCCCAGCATTCAAGAAATGAAAAGTAAAAACCATGTTACTTTTCATCTATCTATCTATCTATTTCACATATACACACACACATATATACAAAAGTCTCCGGTAAGATGGTGCTGATTTATCAATATAAATAAAAAACTTGAAGCATGATCCAACCTGTGGTCCACTACAAAGTATTTATCTTAGGGTAACAATGTGAGGTACACAAAAAACTTCTGTAACAGAATGTCTGGAGATCAATAACAGCAAAACCTAGGAAACAATCTCAATTTCCCAACCACAGGGAAACAGTAATACAAATTACAGTATATCTATCTACAAGATAAAACACTATGAAGACACTAAAAGTCATATTTTTGAAGACTAATGTATGGGGATATACAATAAGACAACTTGTAATTTTTTTTCAAGCACAGGAAAAAAAGGAACAGAAACATATAACAATTTGAAGAAACTTTCAAAACACTATTTTTTCATAGTATAAATACTCTACAAGGACTATTTTACACTGTTAAAACATGGGCTAAAAGCCTTTTTAAAAAATGTCTTGTGTTGAAACTGCCTCCCCCCAAAAACATGTCATAAAGAAATATTAAGTTAAAAAAAAAATAGAACTTGGCCAGGTGCGATGGCTCATGCCTGTAATCCCAGCACTCTGGGAGGCCTAGGTGGGTGGATCACTTGAGGTCAGGAGTTTGAGACCAGCCTGGCCAACCTGGAGAAACCTCCTCTATACAAAAATTAGCTGGGTGGTGGTACGCGCCTGTAATCACAGCTACTCAGGAGGTTGGAGCAGGAGAATCGCTTGAACCCGAGAGGCGGAGGCTGCAGTCAGTGAGCCAAGACTGTGCCACTGCACTCCAGGCTGGGTGACAGAGCAAGACTCTGTTTCCAAAAAAAAAAGGAACTTGACTATGAAGTTTAATGTTAAAGTCAGATGAGTTACAAGCAAGTTTTAAAATCTGAGTTTCCCTAAATTAGTGCTGTACAGCTTTAAAATATACTACAGAATTCATATTAAATACAGCACATCAAGAAGTTATAAACTATTCTAATGAATAAACATTAGAATGCTCTGTAACATATTAAACCCTTAGTAATGAATGTTTCCAGTTGTTAACGGAAAATCAAATGGAAAACATGATAAAAGGAGTTATTAAGTAACATTTTGTATTTGTCATACAGAACATTCACCAATTATGGACGTTTCTCCAAAAACGTGTCAAGAGAAAGAGAAAAACAAAAATGCATGACTATGAATCTACCCAAGTCAGAAATTCAAGGCCCTGTCTAAATACACATCAGTGTTTATAAAAATACTGGCAAGCTATCTAACATCTACTGAACAAAGCCCATTTTATTATTTCATCCGGAGATAACATCAGGTACTGATAGTCTCTACACTAAGTGTATCTAAGGAATAAAAGAGAAACATACATACACTCAACGGTGCAATCTTCTCATCCTGGGTGTCTTCACTAGACCTATTTTCTTGCAGACTTTTCTCTCCTGTAACTCTTAGGTGAGGGCTAACAAACAACACAATTAGTTTGCACCGTCTGGATTTGGCTCTCCACATCTCTGTTCAGACTCTTTAGAATCTGAAAGGCTCTTCAGGGACATCTTTAGGAAGAAGTAAGGACCAGAGTGGTGACTTGCACCAAAACCCAAATGCAGTGAACAATCTTACAGCTCAGCGACCAATTTATCTCACTTCCTTTTACATAAATTGGCAAGCCTTCCCCTTTTTAAAAATAAATCTTCCTGAAGTCAAATTTTGGGGTCCATGTTCTTAGAAGAGCAAAACCAGAGTACTGTATTTGTTTTGTTCCTTGACTGTTAGAATAAAAGGCTACTAGAGAAAATCCGGCTGGAAGGTTTCTGAGGCAGCTAGCAAGGGTGGGGCTGTTATTCCAGCCTACATACCTGGGCAGCCCAGAGCCGCTACTTCCCTGCCTGCTCCACTCCGCTTTCTCTGCAATCTTCAACAAGCCGTGCACCTTGCCTTTTCTCGTCGAACCTGAGAGAAGGCGGCACGTTTCAGGGCAAGAAACCCGGGGCCCCGAGGCCTAGCACCGCCGCCCGTCTCCGGTACCATCCCGCAGGGCAGCTTGGCTGAGCTTACGGTGGGCGAGCCTTGAGCCTGTACCTGGTGGGGCCTCCGCCTTCGCGGGAGAGCCTAGGTCTGGCGTCGGGGTGAGATTGAGCCTCTGACCCGCCCGCTTTTTGCGGGTATAGACCCGTAGCGGCCACATTGCTATCCTACCCTACCCCCAGGCCTTGGGTGCCTCTGGACCCTCGATGGCCTGCCTTCCTGAGGATTAGGGCTAAGTCGCAGGGAGTCAGCGTCCAGGCGAGGCCCGCAGAGCAGCCCCACAGAGCAGCCCCACAGCAATTAACCCAGCGAAAGCAAAAGCCCCAGAACTGGAGCCGCTGGGCCTCGCTCCCGCCTTTTTATCTCCGTGAGGCCGCGCAGAGGCTTCTGGGAAAACGGAGGAACGCGGCAGCCGCCCAGCCCTCCTGTAGGGGCCCCGTGGTTACTGGGCCGCTGGCGCAGGCTCCCTGAACTCCAGCGAAAAGGGAATTTTTTGAAAAAAACTTCCTCGTCCTGAAAAACGTTTAATTCAGCCCCTCCTCCTCGGTCTGAGCACTTAGGTTTCCCCTGTGGCTGCATGCTTAATTCAATTGGGCATGAAGGAGTAAAGGCCTTCCCTCCTTTGGGTGGGCCCAACACTTCCTCTGAGCGGGCTCTCCCTATCACCACTGCATAAGGCCTTAGTAATGAAGTTTTAGACCACCAGCACAGGCAGTCTTGTGAGGGGTCGGCCTCAGTGCAGGAAGGTCACAAAGAGGACTGAATGCACCTTAAAATGACGAGGAGCTTCTCCCCGAGGTATCAACTTCAGTCCCCTGGGCCTCCAACTTACTGGGAGGCTATGGTAATTAAGAGTCTAACCGAGCCTCTGAAGATCCCGGGCTCTAGGAGGCTGCTTCTGGACGACAAACAGAGTCCCTTAGCCTGTGTCCAGGAGCCATCTCTAGACATTTGGGTATCCTTATGGTTAAGGTAGAAGATTCCATAGGGACTCTCCTCCTTGTGCCCTGGGCCTCAACTTGTTGCTGCACCAGACCAGTCAGTTTCTTCTTCTT